TGTGTCTGTTTGGAGCCTTCACCCCTATGGTCTAGTCTCTTTGGTGAGGGAAGGTACTCTGAAGGCTATTGAAAGAGAAACGTGGACACAAACTCAGCCACAAAACCCTGGACCTAAAAATCTGTCCTGTCTGCGAGATGTGTTGGGGCAATGGTGGTACAGAACTTGTGGGAGTCGCCAATCAATGTGACAGGGAGCCCACACTTCACACTGCTTGGGATGGCTAGGAACCAGAGACTGGATATCCAAAAGACCTAGGGTAGAACCATAAACTATTTGTGAAAAAAAATGAAATTTTTCCCGATAATATTTTTCTATACTCATAGATGTCTTATACGGTCATCAACAGAAAGGCATCCTCTGGCAGAGATGGGAGCAGGTGTGCAGAGACCTACAGGCAGACATTTTGGGGGGGAGAGAGAGAGAGAGAGAGAGAGAGAGAGAGAGAGAGAGAGAGGAAGACTAAATTGAAGGTCTCCATTGGATCTTTCCCGGCTGCACTTGGTGAGTGTGGTGGAGGAGGGGGAGGAATGATTACGGGAGTCAGAGGGGATGGACGATACTAGGTGAAAATGACCCACTGTCTCAACTAATTAGGATGTATATGGGCTCACAGAGACTTAAGTGAAAAGCATAGGGTCTACATCAGGTGTATATGTTTAGTGTTTTTGTGGGATTTTAAACACCAGGAGTGGATTCATCTCTGACTCTTTTTGCCTGCTCTTGGGACTCTTTTCCTCCTATCGGGTGTCCTTGTCTTGTCTCCATATGAGGGCTTTCATCTTGTCTTCCTGTATCTTGTTTTGTTGTGCTTGGGTGTTGTCTCTTGGAGGCCCACTCTCTTCTGAAGGGAGACAAAGGGCTAGTGGACCTGGTAGAGAAAGAGGTTGGAGGGAAGACTGTGGTCAGGTTGTATTGTTTCAGAGAAGAACACATTTTCAATAAAAAAGGCAGAAAAGTAGTTCAAATCTGATGCTTTAGCGAAAACAAGATTGTAGCAGTATAGTTAACTGAATATAGTTAATTAATGAGGACACTGTCTTTGCAGTGTTCTAAGTCTCAGACCTGACTTCACCAGAAAGCAAAAGTCTCTGCTCACGCTTCCACTGCAAAGTGTAAAGTGTAACAGGACGAGACTCAGACTCCTCAACAGAGCAGTGCATTCCCTCCTGTGCTCACGGCAGCTCATCCTTCTCTGGGCCAACATAAACAGGCAATGGTCGTTCAATCATGTGAAATTAGCACCGATGGGGCAGGCTCATGCTAGAGTTTTTGTTAAAGTTGAAAATCAACATTTGAAGCTGCTCAGGAAGAGTCTGAGTATTCTTTCTTTATTTGGTAAACTTTTTTTCTCAATTATTAAAAAAGTTGAATTAAGTCAGAGCTTCTGTATAGTGCAGAAAATGTCTTTGAAAGAGTTCAATATGATCATGATAAGCTTCTCCACTGTTTCTTTTTCCTGAGATTGACAGAGAGAATTCAGGACATTGCTCAGTGTCCTAGAAGTTGTGTGGAGTGGCTTTAGACCTGCATGCTTCCGCATGAGTCCTCAGTGCTGCCAGGACAGACTGGAAGGCTATTGTCACCCCACTGAAACTTTTCTACATGTCTGCGATATTCTTTTGATTCTAAACTAAAGAAAGAAAGGTATGGGAAGGGCAAGGACCCTGCTAAAGTCACAGAACAAATTGTTGGCAAATCTGGAGCAAGCATGTTTGACTCTTGGTCTCATCAGTCCGGATTGCTTTCATTCCACCCATTTTGTTTTGCTGTGCTTATCCTACACTTTGTGTCCTGTCTGTGGCCCGAGGAATCACAACACATCACTTGGATGAAATTGTAAAAAGAGAGGGTTTTGAAGGTTTCACTACATAGGAAGAATAATGTTTAATCAATTGTTTGCCAATAATCTCAGTTTGATGATACAATATGAGTATATGTCTCAATAGCTTATTGTATATCTATAAATATTGTATTTACAATTATAATTCAGTCTTTCAACCCATATATATGGGCCGTAGTTTCTTTACTGTTGTCCAAAATTATTGATATTTTCTCGATCGGGCTACACTTTAACTCTCATTTTATTCCTTTTGTTGAATGCACATGGAAGACTTCCATGAAAATGCCCATGGAGTAACCTCTACCATGGTGCACACCTATGACTTTGTTCATTCCTCTGACTTATACACTTTAATTTATGGGTAATATATTGCAATTTCCTCATTAAATTTATTTCTTCTGATTGATTAGGTTTTTGTCTACTCTATGTGTTTCTTTTAAAATTCAAATTTTCCTCAAAGACAGTTTCTATCAGTGGGATAGACAGAGGTACAAGGGAGGGCTGGATAGGTAGGTCAAAATGAGCAAAGTATAACACACACAGACATACACACACAATACACACAGACACAAATGTCAGTATGAAACTCGGAATGCTGTGTGCTAACTATAGAAAATAACGAAAAGGTAGCTTCCATCCATCTAACCTACCTGGATCAGTGTTGGAATTATCATAAGTTAGACAACCCAAACCTGATAAACTCTAGCCTATGCCATTACTTGGCATAAAAAGTCAAGTTTAATACCTCCATAGAGGGAAAGACAATTAATTAGCAGCCGGGGGAAGTCATTTCAGTGTTGTCATAGAATTCTGGAATTGCCATTCTGTGTACATTTGACCAAGGGAATTGTTTCCAAGGACCACAGAAATTCGGCCAGAGCCAACCAGAAAATGTGGTGATTAATGGGTCACTTGAGGAGAAGGAAGAAAGACAATAAAATTATTTATCATAAAATTTACTGCTCAATCTTTTCCTCTTCAAATAGTAAAGATATAAATATTTGATGATATATTAAAATGACGGAATGTAAATCTCAAATAGCATATTTTAGTGAGTTGTAGTTTGCTTACTATTTTATAGTGCTATATGTAGATATGAAAATGTACTTAGAATTTATAAGAGCAGATGAAGGGACTCTCTTTCCTTCAGGCAGTAGAGTTCTTCTTTTTTTTTTTTTTGATTCAAAACAGGGTTGCTTGGTTTTACAGCTCAGATCTTGCCAGCTGTTGTCTTTGGTCTCATTGTCTTTTTGTCTTTTAGTTCCCTAATCTATAAAACAAGAATGAAAACATTATCTATATTGTTTTGCTAGTATCAATGCATATAAAAAACTTGAAATGCTACATACTTATAATAATTGTTGGAGATGGCGCAGAAGGGACCTGTGGGTGGTTGCAGGTAGAGAGAGTCCTGGTGGAAGCCAAGGGTTGGCTACGGTGCAGGCATGGGTGACCAGAGTAGGCAGGACAGTGGTACTCAACAACCTAAACACTGGAGGAAGTCTTGGGATGTCTAGGTACCAAGTGGTGTGGTTATAAAATTGAATGTTTAATAATTTGAAACAAATTTTTTTGCCTGTATATAATGTTAGTATTATCATTTTAAAATATTACAACAAAGCATTTGAATATTTTCTCATAAAAGAAATGGAAAATCACTACTATGCTTTATGAATTTAAACATTATATAATGTAAATACATTGAAATATGACATGTATCTCATAATATATAATTTTTACATTGTATGTATTATAATTATTATTTTCTTTTTTTTCGAGACAGGGTTTCTCTGTAGCTTTGGATTATTTTCTTTTTTTTAAATTTATTTATTTATTAAGGATTTCTGCCTCCTCCCCGCCACCGCCTCCCATTTCCCTCCCCCTCCCCCAATCAAGTCCCTCTCCCTCATCAGCTTGAAGAGCAATCAGGGTTCCCTGACCTGTGGGAAGTCCAAGGACCGCCCACCTCCATCCAGGTTTAGTAAGGTGAGTATCCAAACTGCCTAGGCTCCCCCAAAGCCAGTACGTGCAGTAGGATCAAAAACCCATTGCCATTGTTCTTGAGTTCTCAGTAGTCCTCATTGTTCGCTATGTCCAGCGAGTCTGGTTTTATCCCATGCTTTTTCAGACCCAGGCCAGCTGGCCTTGGTTAGTTCCCGATAGAACATCCCCATTGTCTCAGTGTGTGGGTGCACCCCTCACGGTCCTGAGTTCCTTGCTCGTGCTCTCTCTCCTTCTGCTCCTGATTTGGACCTTGAGATTTCTGTCTGGTGCTCCAACGTGGGTCTCTGTCTCTTTTCATCGCCTGATGAAAGTTAATATTCAGGAGGATGCCTATATGTTTTTCTTTGGGTTCTCCTTCTTATTTAGCTTCTCTAGGATCACTAATTATAGGCTCAATGTCCTTTATGGCTAGAAACCAAATATGAGTGAGTACATCCCATGTTCCTCTTTTTGGGTCTGGCTTACCTCACTCAGGATAGTTTGACACAAAATTTATGTCATATTATCATCACTCTTGCTCTTAGTGTCTCATTCTGCAGCCTGTTTGAAACTGGCATAGCTTACACCCCATCAACACCCTTAGAGGATTTTTAGGAGCCTATTTATTATTTTATTTCAGCTACGACCACAACTATTGCCCCCATATGCATCAATTTTACCACCACCACCACTGAATTTTTTTATTAAAACAGGAAAATATAACAATAAAAAGGAGTTATGCTCATCTTCAACAGTAAATTGCTGAACATATTCTCTGTTAGGCTCTTTTGGAAAGGTTAAGAACACTATAGAAAGTAGATTGAGGCTAAAATCACTTTATTTTGAGGTATTTTATATAGTAATTATAAAAGGAACAAGTGAAAACACTTCCTAATTTATTTTGAAAAATCATCAAAGTTAAATACTGTACAAAATTATGACTACTAATAATTTTGTAGAAAGCATCCCGTACAAGGTGTGGGCATAGAAACTTTAATTCAAACTCCCCTCATGCATATTGATTAAGGTACTATAGATAATAACTGGTAAATTCCTAAATGTAACCTGGTTCACAAACTAATAGAGAGCTGAAATATCATTGACTTCATTTTCTTCATGGCCATTGAGTGTAGAGTTGCATTTTTAATGTTTTTTTTTTTTAAAAACAAAGTATTTAGGATACTTCCCTGTAACTCAGAAGCTGGTAGCAGAGTTTCCTCATCGCTGCTTTCATCTCCTTGTTCCTGAACGTATAGATGACTGGATTCAGAAAAGGAGTGAGGACTGCATCAAAGATGGCAAGGAATTTGTCTAAGTGTGATGAAGGGAATGGCCAGATATAGAAGAAGATCAATGGCCCAAAGAATAAAACCACTACTGTCACATGAGCTGACAAAGTAGACAGGGCCTTGGATATGCCACCTGCAGAGTGCTTCTGAACAGTGACCAAAATGAAGATATAAGATATCAGTATGAAGAAGGAGCCCAAGGAGATGAGTCCACTGCTGGCTGTGACCATAAACTCCAATTTGTTGGTCTCTGTGCAAGCAAGTTTAATGAGCTGAGGGAGATCACAGTAAAAACTGTCCAGAATATTAGGTCCACAGAAGGGCAAGTCTACAACGAAAGCCAGTTGGGCCACTGAGTGGATAAGTCCCAGGATCCAGGCTACTGACAAAAGTAAAATGCATATTCCTGGTCTTAAGATAGTCAAGTAGTGAAGAGGTTTACATATGGCTACGTATCTATCAAAAGCCATGGCTATGAGCAGTACCATTTCTGTACCCCCAATAGCATGAATAAAGAAGATCTGAGTTATACAACCCCCAAATGAAATGGATTTGTGTTTTCTAAAAAGATCATAAATCATCTTGGGTGCTGCAACAGAGCAACCTCCCAGGTCAAGAAATGAGAGATTGGCCAGCAGGAAGTACATTGGGGAGTGCAGGTTGGAGTCAGCAGTCACAGAGAACACAATGAGGAGGTTCCCCATCAGACTTGCTGTATAGAACACAGAAGAAAAGAAGAAGAGAAGCAACTGGATTCCCCATGTATTGGAGAGTCCCAGGAACACAAATTCAGATACAACAAAGTAGTTGTTTCCATCCATTGCAGTGGAGAATAAAGCTTTATTCAATAAAACCTGAAAAAGTTAGAGAAGAGAAAATACAAGCTGAATGCGCAATTAATGACTACATCAGTTTCACACTGTAAAATGCTATATAAAGTCAGTTCACCTCAGTGTAACTGCAGAAAATTGGCAGTCATTCAATGCCATGAGCCACCACATCTAACATCCTGTATTTCTTAACAGTATCCAAATAAAGATAGGGAATATTTAGGAATAAGTATTGGAAGAGGACAAATGACCGGCCTGACAAACGGCTATGAGGAGACTATGAGGCTATAAGGAAATAAGACACGGGAGAAAGGAAATAAGAAGAACCCCCCCCCCGATTTCTCTAATCCAGTTTCCTGCTCCTGCCCAAGGTGTGTCCCCAAAACTTTCTGTGGACCTTTAGGTTTCTTACCTCTTTGATTGTTCCAATTAGCAAAGTGGTACAGTACTCCCATAAAGGCTGTCTCACAGTTAATCTTTTATCAAACCATATTCACCTTTTTCCATATACAGTGAGAAGATAATGCACAAACCATAACATCACCCCACTTTAATAACAAAACTGCAAAAGTTTTAAAGTCTAGGTTGTAGATGCAGCAGGGTAAGAACTGGGTTAGAAAAGATTTGTAGGATGCAGCAATACATGGATTATGTGAATAAAATGCATATAAATCCATTTTATAATAAAATTTATTAAAAAATTCTACATGATTGATACTTCAAGATCATTTCCACCCTGTTTTGTGTATTCATACTTCATTGTATGGTGGAAAGAACAGTGTATCTGGAGTGAGAAAAACATAATGCCCGCCTCGAGTCTTTGAGAACTCAAAGAAAGGTTTTCTTCCACCCCTTCCACACTTCACTCACTGCCTGTCTCCCATTTCATTGTCTGCAAAACTAAAGGGGTGAGTGCAGATGGTAAAGAATGATTTCAAACATTTTGGTTATTTTATAATAGAATACTAGTCTGCCACACAATGAAACTCTTTTTTTTTGTCTTTTTTTTTTATTGCGGAAAGAAGAAAAAAAAACATAAACAAAAAACAAGTTTCCACCTCCTCCCAGCCTCCCATTTCCCTTCCCCTCCTCCCACCCTTCTTCCCCTCCTCCCACCCTACTCCCCCTCCACCCACCCTTCTCCCCCTCCCCCCACTCCTCTCCCTCTCCCTCTCCAGTCCACAGAGCAGTCCGGGTTCCCTGCCCTGTGTTAAGTCCTAGGTCCTCCCCCCTCTGTCCATATCTAGGAAGGTGAACATCCAAACTGGCTAGGCTCCCACAAAGCCAGCACATTAAGTAGGATCAAAACCCCCTGCCATTGTCCTTGGTGTCTCATCAGCCCTCATTGTTCGCCATGTTCAGAGAGTCCGGTTTTATCCCATGCTTTTTCGGTCACAGTCCAGCTGGCCTTGGTGAGCTCCCAGTAGATCAGCTCCACTGTCTCAGTGGGTGGATGCACGCCTCGTGGTCCCGAATTCTTTGCTCATGTTCTCCCTCCTTCTGCTCCTCATTGGGACCTTGGGAGCTCAGTCCAGTGCTCCTGTGTGGGTCAAAACAACTTTGAGATATCATCTTACACCTGTCAGAATGGCTAAAGTCAAAAACACCAAGGATAACCTTTGCTGGAGAGGCTGTGGAGGAACGGGTACCCTCATCCATTGCTGGTGGGAATGCAATCTTGTGCAACCACTGTGGAAGTCAGTGTTTCGGTTTCTCAGGAAATTCGGGATCAACTTACCCCTGGACCCAGCAATACCACTCTTGGGAATATACCCAAGAGATGCTCTATCATATGACAAAAGCATTTGTTCAACTATGTTCATAGCAGTATTATTTTTAATAGCCAGAACCTGGAAACAACCTAGATGCCCTTCAATGGAAGAATGGATGAAGAAAGTATGGAATATATACACGCTAGAGTACTACGCTGCGGTAAAAAACAATGACTTCTCGAATTTTGCATGCAAATGGATGGAAATAGAAAACACTACAAAAGCAATGAAACTCTTTATAACGATAGTATCCTCTTCTTTGGGTTGCAGCTATCTCCACTCTTGTCCCTTGTTTGTAGTTATTTGCATTTCATATTCTAAAGAAGACCTTTCTTCAGATCAATCTACCTTTTATTTCTTTTGTTATAGTTAGAATGTCATTATAAATTCACTGTGTCACTTATCATAGCCATTTGTCATCAATAAACAAACACTTTCTAGATGTCTACTATACCCATTGTTCAATGAATTTTTGAAGTAGTAACACATTCAGTACCCTTTAGTCTTCTACATTAGCACACACAATGTAAAAAATAGTAAGACTGCCAAACAAGGAATGTGGTCATATAAATTTTCTGAAGTAGAAACAATACCTGTGAGTCAGCCTGATGAGGGTTGCAGTCTGAAGGAAATCAGAACCCAGGCTGCAGATCCAGGTACAGCTCTTGTTCTTTTTCAATATACAACTCATATCTGAGCTTAAAGATTTCCTAACACAGCCAAGGACACTCTGCAGCAGTTCATGATTGATGAGCTTCCTATGACAGTAATAACCCAGTCTAAAACAAAACCAGCATCAATTATGTACATGACACCATACTTCCACACACTATCTTGTCTGACACTTGTAACTACTGCAGGAGTAGTTGTTATTGTCCCTTCCTGGAGGAATTAAGACCATGAAAGTAGAAGTGACATTTCAGAATAGTGAGTTGTAGGAATCCAGAGAGTCTGATGAGCATCTTCTTCAATATCTACAGGAGACTTGATCCTTTTCTCATGACTATTCTGTTGTGTGTTGCTCCTTAGTGGTTGTCTAGCTGCCTTACAGTGACTCACAGTGTGTTTGGCAGACCTTAATGAGAGAAGGCAGGCTTAAGAGAGACGGCAGGCTGCATTCATAAGATCTAGGTTTCTTAGGTTTCTTCAAATGCATCTTATAGATGCATCTTATTATTCACAATGATTCTTAAAATAAACATGAAGGAGAGCAATCCATTTAATACCTGCAGCACAGAACAAACTGGTTGTTTCCAGGCCATCTTTATCTATTTCCACATGAAGACTTTGGCATTTCAAAGAACAGACAATTCTTAGCACTCTGATGCAGAGAGTAAATTCTTACACTTCTAAGGCTGCCTCCTATACTTCTAGCTCCTTGTTTTCCCATCTCAAACTTAGAGGTTAAAAAGTAATTTAAGTTTTAGATATTGTGTCTTTCTTCTTTTCCTTTGTTTATTTCTTTATTTATTTTTTGCTCATCAACCTAAGTTGAGGCATTTTTTCTGGTGCAAGATAATATTTAATTGATTTCTATAGAAAATAATCTATCATCAGAATAAATCTATTTAATACTGGCTAGTTGGAACCTTAGATATTGTACTATAATAGGCTATTACTATATTTGTCACTAGTGCTCTTAAAGGTTTATTTCCAAAGACTTAAGCATAGTATACTCTTGATTAGAAGTAGCATTATTTCATGTATAAGCATCTCCACGAGGGCTGCTACTGTGGGGACACAGCTAATTGGCCCACAGAGGAGTACTGACCAAATGATATCACAGAGACTTGGGATGGCCAATATGAACTCATTGTGCAAGGGAATTGTTACCTGGAATCCTGGCAAGTCAAAGGAGGAAGCTTTAAATGAATCACAAAGGAGGGAATGGGAGAGAGACAGAAAGATATATGAATGTAAAAGATCTAAGGTCTGCATAATAAGGTAACATTGAGTAGTCACTTAAATCAAAGCTACCTCATTTTTAAGTATTCATGGAGATAACATATGTGACCATATATTTTATATATATTTATATATAATACTTGTGTATAAATTAAAATATAATTACATCATTCCCCTTTCCTTTCCAACCACCAGTTCTTTCCCTTTATCCCCACTTGATTTCCCTCAAATTCAAGGTTCCTTTTCTTTGTTACTATTACATTACCACCATAAAATATTACTTGCTCAGTTTGCTTCCTGCTACTGGTATGCATATGATTTCACAGCTGACCAACTGGGGCTCATTCATGGGGAAGTCTGTGTTTTCACACCCAGCATTCCTTAGTTGCCTGCAGTTCTTTGTCTAAGGCATTATGGAGCTTCCTCTTCTATGTTATATTTTATAGTTGTTGTATTTGTTCAGGTCTTGTTTTGGCATCAGCATTATTGAGGAATCATGGGCTAACTTTCCCTGTCATTTTTAGGAGACATAATATCACACCAGATTCCTGGTTCCCTGGCTTTTACCATATTTCTGTTCTTCTTCCAGGTTGTACCCTGTAGGTGGAGAATTTGTGTTGCAGATATAGCAATTGGGGTTGTGCTCCCCACGATCAGTTGATCTTTACATTTTGGCCTTGGGTGGTTTTTCGAAATGACCTCCATTTGTTCCTTAGAGAATATTCTTTGGGGAGCAGGAGCTGCATGTATCTGTGGATAGGAAGCTAAATATGATGAATGCAGATGGGAATTATGATGGTTTAGTATAATGGAGGTAGTAGGTTTTCTTCTGAGATCTATGATCTCACTGGTCCTAGGTAGTTGGCTAGGTTTGCAGTACCAGGCATGGTTTCCATTCTGTAGAGTGGACCTTAAGCCCAATTAGAAGCTGGATGCCTTTAATATATGAGTGCTTACTGTTGCACCTTTAGGAACTTCAAGAAAATGAAGATTAAAACTACTTTTAGACTCAACCTCGACCTAGTCATAACGGCCATCATCAGGAATACAAATGATAGGATAGCAAAGTTTGGAGTGGATTTTGAAAAGGGGAATCTTTTTATTTTATTTTATTTTTTTATTTTGTTTCATTAAAAGTTTGCACTTCCCCTCCTCCCATTCTTTTTCCACTCCCCCATTCATCCTCTTCTGTCCCTCTCCCTCCTTAAGAGGGGGAAGGGAACCCTGCCCTTTGGGAAGTCCAAGGCCCTCCCCCCTACATCCAGGCCTAAAAAGCTATGTATCCAAATAGACTAGGATCCCAAAAAGCCAGTG